ATGAATGAATGAATGAATGAATGAATGAATGAATGAATGAATGAATGAATGAATGCTGGCGGGCCTGATGAGTTTTGTGTTTTTTGCCCCCAACAGGACCCAGCGGCAGCCTCCATCTCTGACAGAGACTGTGATACGAGAGAGGGCGAGACGGTAGCCATGAATTACAAACCATCCCCTCTGCAAGTGAAACTGGGTAAGTCTTGCGCACCTTGGCTGACGAACCGGAAGAGCGTTGCAATTCTGCTTTAACTGTACGCACGCATATTGCCAAATATACATATCCATCATGCTGTTCCTTTTTCAGGGTAAGCGGTGTGGTGCCAAATGTGGAAACGGAGAAATAATAAATCAAAGAAATTAAAAGCCTGTGATAAGAAAAAGAAACGCTAAATCTGGTTTGCACCAATACCGCGCACTCCCCTTTCTAGTCTTGCAGACTGTCTCTGTTTTCCCCGTGTGCTTACGTCAGTTCGCTGACTTCTGTTCTTCAACCTTCTCATTTCTCTTTTTGAGGATCTCATCCACTCCGCTCAGCCGCAGCGTCCTTGATCTTCAACGTCCTCCTGACCCCTTCACTCTTCCTTCAAGCATTTATTTTGCCCTTTGGTCCTCATTCATTCTCTGTGTATGATGAAACCACCAGTATTTCTTTCAAATTGGTTACTAGTTTTTGTATTCAATCCACATTCTTTCAGCACCCATTCGTTCTTCTTGTTTTACCACACGCACTTTGAGTCAACTTTTTATGTTTCTCCTGACATAGCCAACCTTCACCTCCGTATATCAAAATGGGCAGAAGCGTGCTCTTATACATAGCTATTTTCACTTCTATCAGCAAACAATAATTCCTTGCAATAAATCACATAACGCCCATTACCTTTCTACCACCATTTGCACATCTTAACATTTCTCCATCTATTCTACCAAGATACACAAAATCATCTGCTTGCCCTAATTTTTCATCACTTACGTATAAACTTGCAGTCTCTCACTTCATTTACCCTGTCAGACACGCAGCCTTGGTCTTTGATAGATTCATTTTCAGAGCCATGACTCATTTGCATCATACAATCTGTCTAACATTTGCTGAAAACCGTGTGGGTTCTTGGCCCTCAAAATGATATCACCTGCATACAAAATTGTATTTTTGTTCCCAATCAGCACGACTAATGCCGCTACTTAACATGTATCCATAAATATGTATTAAACAACTAAGAGATCTCACATCATTTTCTTATTTCCCTACTCACTGTTGAACCATTTACTATACTGTTCTTATCAGATTTGGCAACCAAACTTCGACTCCATGTTCACAAAAAACCTTCTACGATCCAAGCCTTTTCGTTTGTATGCTGTGTTTAAATCAACATCTCTCCCATAAACGTTATCACTGTCATTCATGCATTTCTTGGTGACCTAGTGAAGAGCAAATATCTGGTATACCTGAAGCTGCCCTGAACTTCCCAAATTTGGCTCATTGTCATCTCTTCTACCCCCTCAGTCACCTCACAGTTCTGGCTAAACACCTTTCCCGGCACACTTAGGAAATTGAATCCCCCTGCAGCCCTGATTCCCCAGGCCACCTTTCCTTTGTGTCGGGGAGCCGTAACATTCTTCCAGTCGCCAGGCACAGATGCAGCCTTCGCATGTCCAGTAGACAAGTTGCACCGCCACTCTGGAAGCCAGCCACTTTCAGATTTTATTTTTTTTCTCCAGCTGCACCATCACCATACCTGCTTTACCATTTTCCAATATTATCTCAGCATTTATTACTGCCTTTTCATCAGTTTTCTCTTGGACACTAACATTGCTAGCGTTTGTTTCAATTCCACTATTTGACATGCTGCTGTCGCTCCCATACACTACCCCCACCGCCATCCCGGGTATATGCTTTTTCCGTCATTCCTGTTGCATCTTCTCTGCTGCTGTTAATCTAACTGCTCTCTTCAATTACATTCCTTGCAACCATCTTTTTTCTCTAGATACACATTGTACCATATATTTCTCTCATCCTCTTTTTTTGCAAAAGTGATTCTCATATATGCACTTTTTTCTCATCCTCAGTCTCTTTCACTTCATTAATCCATCAAGCATTCTTTTTTCGTGATTCTTATTAGCACAAATCCATGTTCTGTAACAAAATTCTTAGAGTGGGGGGAAAAAATCCAAGCCCTTCAACATTCTCTTTCCATTCATTCTCTTGGGAGACCTTCTAATATTTTTTCATGCAGGATTTGTACTGAGAATCCACTTCCTTTGTCTAGAGCAGTGTTTCCCAACTTTGGCAACTTTCAGATGTATGGACTTCAACTCCCAGAATTCCCCAGCCACCATGCTGGCTGGGGAATTCTGGGAATCAAAGTCCACACATCTGAAAGTTGCTGAGCTGGCTGGAGAATTCTGGGAATTGAAGTCCACGCATCTTAAAATTGCTGAGGTTGGGAAACATTGGTCTAGAGATCAATTTCCAAGCAACAGGAATATGGTTTACTAGGCCGTCCTTATAGCTGAATGGCAAAAACCCTTCAACATTGGCAGGATAATCATAAGGCCGCAATGAATCAATTATAATTTGCAGAATTACATTAGTGTGCAGAATTGATATTATTGGCCGCATATAAACAAACTACTGAACAATATAGATTAGCTATGGATGGTTATAATGAAATATAGCTACTATCTTAAGCGTTATTTAGAATTTTCATATGTGGTATATTTATTCATGAATATATATGCTTAATGTGTGTTTCTTTTTAGTTTTCTTTAGTCTTCTTTGTTTTCTTTTAACTTTGGATATTACTTATTTTTCTTATTAATAAAAGCAAAAAAATAGATACTGTATTTGTACTTTGTCTTCCTACTACTTTGTACTTCCTAAAAAGACTATCTATTTTTTATAGTCATTCCACTTTATTCTAGCTTTTGTTTCCTGTTCTTCCGTTTCAAATTTTCCCCCAAATTCCACTACTGACATTATAAAAGAAATGTTCTGTCCCACATTCAGACTCGCTTATCATCATTGTGTCCTACATTAATCCCCTTAATCTTTCCTTATAAACAATCAGATCAATCATGATTTTAGTGTTATATTCATTCCTTTTTTGTGTTTATGCATGAATAAACTTATGTTTAAACTTATATTTAAACAGGCTGTTTTCTATGCAGATCCTCTCCAAACTGTCACCATTTTCATTGATTCTTGGTCTCTGAATGATTCAGTCTCTTTTTCTGTCCTCCTTCTTTCTATCCATCTGTTCTATCCATCACCTAACCAAATAATTTTTTTTTTCTTTGGGATGAATTTATCAGAGTATTGCATATTTTTTTCAAAATTCATCTCTGGTTCCCATTACCACTGTTTGCTGGTGTATAACATGCAAATGTCCCCAACCAACCTATGTAATCTCACTTTCATATGCTCCCAAACCAACTCGAACTTTCTGACAAAGATTGAGAGTCAGTTTGGTCTAGTGGTGACGGCCCCAGGTTAGAAACCAGGAGGTGATAAGTTCTCGTTCCATCTGAGACATGAGAGCCAGCTGGGTGACGTTGGGGCAGTCCCTCTCTCTCAGCCCAACCCACCTTACAGGGTTGTCCTTGTGGGGAAAATAGGAGGAGGAAGAACTATTAGGTACGTTCTCCACCTTGAGTTATTTATAAAAATAATAAAGGCAGGATAATTTTTTTTTAAAAAAGATGTTAATCCTTTCATGCATAATTAAAGTCACACATTCATTTCCCTGCAAGCATTCATCAGTTTCACTCCTCAGGATTAAACAATTCAAAACTATTCTATGCTTCCACTTTAATCTGTTTTCCTTTCATTTATACTCTTTACTCCTCTTACATTCCAAATTTCAATATTTTGAATGCCATGGTGGTCACTAGATGGGACCATAATATTGACCTCTGTTTTCCATCATGGCTTTGGTCAACGGAGGCTTTCCCATGACATTTTTTAGTAAGACAGAGAAGGTAGCAACAAGATTACTAGCCTTAGTCGCACCCAGGCCACGTGCATATTCCCTGCTAACAGTAAGGACGGTTACAATCAGTTATGGATCGCTTTGGCCACTGTGCCATGCATGCTTCCAAAGTCCAGTTTTATCTCAAGCCCACTCACCCTATTTTATGCATGCTCGGTTCCTTAATCTAGAGACTACCTTGCAAGCCAACATATTTTTCCCACATTCCACAAACTAAGAGGTATATGTAGTATATTGGCATACACCTAGGATACCAAGATCCATATACATCAACGGATCACAGGTTGTCTCCAGGTTGACAAGATTATTTCAGTTAAATAACACAAATCAGCATTTTAAATTCTCCCCATGTATGTCTGTCTGAGGGGACATAAATTGCTTTTTCTAGAGAGTACTAGGGCAGGAAAGGGTTCCAAAGACGTATGGATGGACCCTTTTAGAACCCCACAACATGGGGTGCGTGGGACCCCGATTGATCCAGCCTCAATGTTTTGAAAGCCTGCTGTGTGAACCTTCTGGAAAGTAAAGGAATAGGTTTGTGGGGATGGGCAGTGAGCCAACTTTTATTTCACCCTTCAGTTAAAATGGGCTCTCTCTCCATGATGATTGTAAAAGATGGTTGTTCTAAATTCAGGGTTGGGCGGTATTTGACACTCATAGTAGAATTAAGAATTAATACTTCTGTGCTAGACTTTTCCCCTAGGCAGTGAAATGCAGGAACAGGTAAAGGATTGTGATTGGAAGAACTATAGGATACGCATTAACCTTAGCCCCAGGAATGTTCTTATTAACATATGGGGATGATACACGTGAACAAAGAAAGCATATTATGTTCTGGTCAGTTACCTACGGGGTGCTGTTCTGTTATATAGCATCCCAAGTATGTAATACAGCAAAGTGCCGAAGGAAGATTGAATGACATTGCAGAAGAAAGAAGACTTAGCTGCCTCCTCCCAAATTAAACAATTCCCCTATAAGGATGCAAATTGTTTTGTTAATTAGGAATCAGTGAGTGAAGGGCAAGAAATGCTGAGCAGGAATACAGGAAAGCAAATGAGTGTTGAATATGCAGATGCACTTTGTGGCAATAGAACATGTTACCTAAGATCATTAACAAGTTATTATCATTGTCACCATCATTAGCAAATTAACCTTCTCTCTTCATTACAATTTTTTGTTACGACTGTGAAGGGAAGGTGAGAGTCAT